GACGAAGTTTTTACCGTCTTGAATCATAGTCCTGCTGGCGACTAATATGTAGGCGTGCAAGTTCTCGTACTTCTTCGGCAAGCTGGGTGATACAGTCAGCATCTGTTTCGACGTTTTCGCACTCGTGCGGTACCATGGCATCCAGCATAGTTGTCACTTCACGACCTTGAAGAAGGTGGAAGGGCGTTGTTGGTGTTTCTTGATGAGCCGTGTTATAGGCTAACGTGACATACGGTAAGATCTCGTCCCAGTTTTTATGCTCCACATCGACGTACATGCAAAGCATATCCGCAAGTGTCTTGTTGAGACGCTCCGCAAGACCATTCGCTTGCGGATGATACGCCATTGTTCGCCGATAGGATGCGCCACTAAGTCTTGAAACTGTAATAGCTCGGCTGCGAATGCAGTTTCCCACTCAGTTATTACCACTGACGGAGCGCCATGCCTCAGCACCACATTCTTCACAAAAAATCAGGCTGCTTCACTTGCCGTGCCCCTCTCCAGAGCCTTGGTTTCGGCATAACAAGCGAGGTAGTCGGTGGATACTATTCTGCACCTGCATTCTGCCGGAGAGGTAGGAAATGGGCCCAAAAGATCCATTCCCACTTGAGTGAATTGAGTAACAGGCGCTTCAATAGGATGGAGGAGGCCTGCTGGTTTGACGGGTAGGGCTTTTCTGTGCTGGCAATCAAGGCACGTCCGAACATAGTGTTGAACGGTCGCCGTCAGTCTTGGCCAGTGGTATTTCTGTCACTCTGCACAGCGTACGCGCGTAACTCAAGTGGCCGGATGTTGGTTCATCGTGGCATGCCTGTAATACTTCACTCCTTAGAGATGTTGGCACGACGAGTAAGTGGTCGTTTCCGTGTGATGTGAAGTTCACCTTATACAGGACTTTCGTTGCGCAAGCAAAATGACGAAAGCCCTCTCGCAAACAGTCTAGGTACAGCTGAAGTATGACCCTCCAAAAAACGAAATATGGGTTGTAGTTCCGGGTCGTCTCGTTGCAGCTGTACAACAGTAGCCATGTTTACAACTCTCACAAAGGCTGTATCGTCATCTTCTGCCGTTGCAGGTTCGTATGGCGCACGAGAACGGGAATCTGCGTCTTGTAGTCGCTTCCCAGACCTGTAGATCACCTTCATGTCAAATTTTTGAAGCTTCAGGCTCCAGCGCGCCAACCGTCCTAAAGGGTCTTTTAAACTTGTCAGCCAGCAGAGGGAGGGATGGTCGCTGACAACTTTAAAAGGACAATCATACAGATATGGGCGGAATTTCATAATGGCCTACATTACCGCAAGGCACTCTTTTTCCGTGGTGGAATAGTTTTCTTCCGCACGTGAAAGAGTTCTGCTCGCGTAAGCAACTACTTGTTCAGCGCCATCCTGCCACTGCACGAGTACAGCTCCTAAGCCGACATTTACTAGCGTTGGTGTGCATTGTTTTCGGGGCGTCATCATCAAAATGTGTGAAGACTGGTGGCTTCTGGAGGTGTTCTTACAGCTTGTCGAATGATTTTTGCTGTTCTTCATTCCATACGAATGCGACGTGTTCTCTGATAAGAGAGATAAATGGCGAGGCGATGCGCGAGAAGTTCTCAATGAAGCGTCGGTAGTACGCACACAGTTCTAAAAACCGTCTGACCACGTTTTTTGTCAGTTGGGTCTCGAAAATTTGTAATGGCAGCTATTTATCAGGGTCAGACTGCGCACCTTCACTGCTGACAAGATGCCCCAGGAACAGAAGCTCTTGGAAGCTGAAGTGGAATTTCTGGCTTAAGTGTTAGTCCGGCGGAACGGATAGCTTGAAATACTGAGTGCAGTCAGCTGACTTGTTCGTCGAATGTGGCAGAAAATACGATGACGTCATCTGAATACACTGAGCATGTCTGCCACTTGAGGCCTGATAGTACGGTATCCATTAGCCACCAAAACGTTGCCGGTGCTGAGCACAAGCTAAATGGAAGTACCTTAAATTCGAAAAGGCCATCAGATGTCACGAAAGCTGTTTTCTCCCGGTCTCTTTCATCGACTTCTATCTGCCAATATCCTGTCCTTAGATTCATTGACGAGAAATAACCCGCATGCCGTAGTCGATCGAGTAAATCGTTGATACGCCGAAGTGAGTAGACGTCTTTTTTTGTCACCTGATTCAACTTGCTGTAATCCACGCAAAAACATAAGGTGCCTTTTTTTATCACTAATACAACCGGCGAAGCCCAATGGCTCTTCAACGGCTGAATAACGTAATCTTCAAGCATCTCTCGCACCTGGTTTTTCATGGCTTTACGTTACCACAGAGCTTACCGGCACGGGTTTCGCCTGATGGGTCTCGTCATGTCGTCCGTTATAATTCGATGTTTTGTCAGTGGCGTTTGATTGACTCTGGATGTCGAAGAGAAACAATGTTCAAACTGCTTGATAAGCTGCAGGACACTTTGTTTTTGCACCAGCAGCAAAGTTGGGCCAATATGAATAGATAAAGGTACGGGGGCCTGTTCAGTTCAGTTATCTTTCTCAAGAGTTAGGCACCTGTCTGTTATTTCAGCGAGCTCTTCCATGTACGCGGCTGCCATGTCCTTCATCAGAGTCGGCGGTCAGAGCCGAAGTTCGTAACAAGGACGTGCGGGTGTTCGAATTTTATGCTCACTATACCTCTTGCGATAGATAAAGCATGGCTGACTAGCGGTGTTGGAAATCGCTCAGCAATGTTCTCAGCATTGCTCGACGTGTCTCATGTCACAGCCACGAGACGAGTGCACTCGATCGAGGCGGAATGATCACGTGGTCGTCCAAAACGCGCAAAGGTTTACATCGTTGGTCTGTACAGGGCCCATCCTAAATTTGACCTGGGGCCATTCAAAATGTAACCGATCTCTCAGGAATGTTGATAAAGGCGCCATATTTATGCAGGAAGTCCATGCCCAAAATCAGGTCTTTGCAGCTTTCCGATAAATATACTAAAGTAGCGACGAAATCTGAACTTCTCTCGTTCGGTTTTTGTATGCATGCCTCAATGAGCTGCAGAGCAGAATCCCGGTGGTCGGTGCTTGCGAATGTCCCCAGAATTTGCTGCCGAAATTGATCCCACTAAGAAAGTGTTGACTCGTGGTTCTCGTACCACGTACCAGTGCTGTATGTCAAAGCAAAGTAGACGCGCGATTGCTTCTATTCAGTGGGCCAGTGGTCGGCCATGGCTACTCGCTCATACTGGGCTAACCAGTCCTCAATGTCTTTATAGACCTCATCGTGGAAGGTCTCGGAAACTTGAGGCTGCTCAACAGTAAGCTCTGAAGGCCCTCAAGTAGTCATTTCTCCAGGCACGGTGTGTTGCTGGAGAAGTTCGAGGGGGATTGCCTCGGGACTAAGGTCTAGTCGGGGACTGTAGCGGTGGACAGGAGTATCCACTGCAGGAACGTGTTGCGGTGGCGGACTCGAAGTGCCAGAGCGCGGAGGTGTCCCAAACATCAGTTGGAGAAGTCCAGCACTTCCACCATTGTCGATACGTGGAAATAACAGGATACAGGACGACGGTTTGACCAGGAATAACAATGTCTGTATTAACAGAACCAAAGAGCAGCCACTTTGACGTCGTCTTCCTCGGAGCAACCGAGGGTGCTGTCCACGCTCATCACTTTATCGTCCTCCGTCTTTTTGCCCAGCCTTTAGCCATGACAATATACTACTGTAGAAAAGTCCTAAAATCTGGCCCTGCCCCTAGTGCACCTTTCAGCCGATAGGTGCATAATTATTCATATGTTTTCTTACATACACGCGCGCGCACACAAACACGCACGCAGTAGATTGGACCAGCGTGCGGTATTATCGCCGAACGGGCTGGTTTTCATCGTGACACCTGTGTACCAAAATGCGTTAAGGGGCCCTGAAAGACTTTTTTCGAGTAACCATGGAATGAATTCACTAGAAGAGTTTTTTGCTTCATGAATTCAATGACGCAAAGTTTTAGGAATCCGTCCAGTGCGAGTGGAGTTACAAAGGTTTGTCGCATGTCGCAATTGCATTATCTCTTCTCTCGTCCTTACAAAAGCGCTGGAAGCTCAGCAAAATAGGGGTGGCAGGGCAATGAAACTACCGCGCCTCGTGACCTTGAGCTCTTTTTTTCTTGGAATGAGCGGCTTTTTCAGTGTGATCACGCGTCCATGCGTGGACAAGTAGTGGCTTTCCGTGGCTATCACGGTAACTTCATTTTTCGGTCACAGGCGCACAGACGATTTTTCGCTCACATGAAACGGGGCTGACGCCAGTGGCGGGGTTCCTGCGAAACGAGATTTTTAACGCTATCGCGTTAAAACACCGCATCACCTTGACTCCCCATACCAGGTACATTTGAAATTTATCCGTTACCTCAGGAACCTGTGCTGTGGGTAATACAGCCCAGAGCAGTGTTGATATGCATGAACTAAGCTATAACATCTAGATTTGTCGTAATAGCGTTAAACTAAAAGTCCTATGGCAATTGTGGATGTTAAAAAGTAGTTATTGAATTATAAAAGTTGGGCGGGCTTGAGGATTGTATTTATTCTTGTAGAGCACCATTCATCGGGTATCATACATAATTCTAACGGTGTTTTATATAATACATATAGTTACCAAGATTGCGTACTTGTTGACAAAAACAATTGATAAAATTATCTAGACCTGACGGCTTTGTAATTACGCAGGTTACGCAGAAGGTTATGAATGGCATTGTTGCCTTAATTCACGTCGGGCATCGAATTACGCAGTGCGTAAGCATTCTGATATATGCAACTGGCGTATGCCAGGGATTACATAATATGGGTGTATTTATGCCAGCACAACATGTTAGGTTTTCTCACATTAGGCTAGATGTACACTGATGATTACTTGATTCTTCTCATGTGCTTTAGTCATAAATTCAAAACAAGGATATTTTGGCGTAGAAGGCATCTGAGCGAACCTGTGAAAATGATTGATTAACCTATCGCTTCTGTCAGTGGTTCAAGAGAGGTGTATACTTACCGTTTGTGTCCTTTGTATAAAGCAAGATGAGAAACAGTACAATATGCTTATAGTTCATGTATGATGACAGATGAGTTGAAGACGTCGTTTTAAATATCAATCTGCAAATATCATGACCAAAATTCGGAACCGTTAAGCTTCGCCTTTAGGAGTTGAACGCAATAGCAAAATCCAGCCTCTAGTGCGCCCTTCAAACACCAATTGCATACTTGATAATGTGTTTTGTTACAAACACACACACACACAGACGCACGCACACAAACGCGCACGCGAAAGCGTCACGTACCTTTAGTAATGGTACAGGTTTTGTTCTATTTAACTTTATACTTTTATGACAACGTTGTGAAACTTCATGGCTCGTTAGTTTTGGAACACTACTTGAAATAAATGTCCCGCAGGCAATCATTGATGAGCCAGACTGTGCAGTGTGGCCACTTCTCTCTGCGGGAACGGCGCTCTGCTGTAGTCGAGACAAGTTTTTCACCATGTCTCATGGATAACACGCAGACACACACACACGCGTTCGCGTGTGCGCGAATAGTACACACAGGTTTTAGATCTAAAGGAAGAGTCACATGGCATCCAAGATACACGCCTCGCGCTTGCCATATCGAAAGGCATAAAGAGTCTCACAATGCCTCACTGATGGCAGCATATTATCTAGAGTTTGCTGTTCACTTGATCAACGCTTTTGGAAAGGAGTGATATGTTTTCTGCGAGATGGGTATAGTTGTTCATTTTTAGAGCTGTTTGAAAGTTCCTGTGTGTTTTTAGCGGCCAAGGCTGCACTATCCCTGTCTTTTCGACGTAGTTTGATGGCCGTCCAAATGCACCTACAAATCGCCGAATGGGCTTGTTCTCGCCGTGAAACCTGTCGAACAAAATGCGTTAAAGAGACTCCTTCCACTACATGTCATTTATGTAGTGTTTCTTCCCAAAGAAGTTGCAACTTAAATCGTTGATTTGTGGTAGGACACCTGCCGACCACGTGAACGGCCCGGTTTCGATCCTCAATAGGACCGAAAATTTTATTCTTTGGTTTCTCTGCTTGTTTCTCGATTTTTGCTGACAACCAACGGTGCCGACGCTGACAGCGGAATCTATGAGACACGAGCTCTCTAACGCTATGGTGGGAAAACGAAGCAGTTAAAAACAGATTAAGCAATAGTTTGGAGCTTTGAGTTTAGCGCCGATACGGATGATATGTTATCAAATATATTCTCTTGTGCCTACACTAAGCATGTAGGCGTTGATTACAAATACACTAAAGTCACATTCTAATCTTCACGAGGTGTATGGAGCCATCACTGTGTAGGAATCATTGAAATGTTTTTTTTAAACAGGGCCCCAGGTACACCATTTAAAACGGTTCATTTTCCTCTATTGCTGATTTATATTTTCTCTTACAATGTGGCGACCAAGTTTACGTAGCGAGTCGGTGAGACAGGTGTTGGAAATATTTCTGATAGCAAATATACCCACACCATACCAGCACGCGCAAATGATGACCACGTACTCAAGTGTATTCTAAAATAACCCCAAAAGCACGAACTTCGTATCAAAATAGTGGCAATGCTGGTGCATGCTCAGCACTGACTGAAGTTCGTATAAAGCAACTGGGCTGCGAAACAAGATTTTCATCCCCCGGACCCGGAACAGATACGGCAGTAAATAATTCTGGAGAGACAACGGTGTTTTCGTGGCTGGTTGAAAGTAAAAATGGACACCTACACTGAGCAAACGAGCAATATTCTGGGAATGTGGAGCATACCCTTCATGCAGGAATTTCGATCGATTGCATTCAAACGAGTTAATTTCGCACATTACCTAAATCAATGGGTACTAAAACGAAGAATAAAACATAAATGATTTGTTGTTTTATGTTAGTTTTACCAGTTAAACAAATGGATGTCCCGTATATATATATATATATATATATATATATATATATATATATATATATATATATATATATATATATATATATATTTGGTGTCGGCATTTAGTATACGCATCCTCTTCACCTGTACATTATCAGCATTATTATGTGCGGCTCATGCATCATCATCTCGGTTCATTCATCGTAGCTGTCGGCTGCCGGTTCCTCGGGCCTAATAAAGCTCATCCAAACCAAGACTTCATACATGATGGAGCGTGCTCTTAGAACCTCCGCCATCCTCTCGAGCACTCTACCCCCTAGAGCTACGTTCAGGTCACCGCTTGGGCCAGGTGTCCGGAAATATGTCGCACCAAGATGAGGTTGGTGCTGCAGCCGTTCCCACTTCACCACCGCGCGCCACGCCTTCTCACGTCATCAACAGCCTCCAGAAAGAGCCCCATCCCTTCGCTGTAATCGCGGGGAAGATGTGGAGGAATGGCAGGACGATTTCGAACGTGTTGGCGCTGCTAACCGGTGCAATAACACCTACAATCTCGCTCACGTGTTATTCTACCTCACGAGTGTCGCGAAGACGTGCTTCCTCAACCACTTCATCGACATCCCCGACTGGTCAGCCTTAAAAGATCAGCTACGCCATGTCTTTGGCACATCGGCTGTTCGTTCGTCTCTCGCAAAGAAAGCTCTCGCGACTCGGAAACAGCACATCGGCGAGTCGTATACTTCCTACATCGAGGATGTCCTTACACTTTGCCGCCGGGTTGACACACCAATGACAGAATCAGACAAGGTGCGCCAGCTTCTTAAGCGAATTGCACCCGTCACATTCAATGCCCTTGCAATCCAGAATCCGGCTACCGTTGCTGACGTTGCGACAACCTGTCAGCGCCTCGAAGAACTTGAGTCTATGCGCTTAGAAACGGACAGTGACGCGGCCCGTATTACGGCGGGACCAAACCTACGAGACACGATAAGGGTGATTATACGCGAAGAATTAGAATCAATGGGATGCACACTACCTTCAGTGTGTCTCATTCAGTCTTCTTCAACGTCATTGCGGGATGTCATCAGGGAGGAGCTTACGTCCATGACCCACATGGCCCACCTGCAGCCAACTGTCGCTCGTACTCTCCCATCGTTCTCGCACACCACCGCCGCGCCACCAGGCACCGTCAGCTCGACGTCCCCGCCACAAACGTACGCGTCGGTTGCTGCCGCACCTCACACAAGCTTTCCCATGAGCTTTTTATCACCACCGTCAGAGCCGTGATCTGTCCCTCTCACTGCTCTTTCTCCCGGTGCAGTTAGCGCAAGCTACTACCCTCCTTATCGATCAACTCGCCCTACGTGCTATCATTGCGGCTATCGTGGCCAGATTTTACCTTTTTGCCGCAAGCATCTGCAAGACAAGCGTCGAGGGTACGATATACGCGAACAGGAGAATACCGCAGGAACCTTGTATCAGGGCCGCCGTTATTTGTCACTGCCGCGTCGGTCTCCATCTCCGCCATCATCGGGTGAACTGCGCAGTACTCATCGATCCACCCGACGCTGTTCACCATCGCCCTACCGTAGCTCCTCTTCTCCTTTTCAGCTTGCTTCCCTCGCTTCTTATCGGCTTCCGGAAAACTAAGCGATGCAGTTTTCGGAGGACAAACTGCACTCCAATACAGGACTCTAATTCCTCCAGCACGCCCTTACAATATGATTGCGGTCACAGTTGAGGGAGTGGGCGTTGATGCTTTGGTGGACACCGGGGCTGTGTTTTCCGTTATTGGTGCGGATTCGTGTGCCCGTCTTCGAAAAGTCGCGACGTCTTATGATGGACCAACACTGATTACAGCCCAGAGAAGAATTATTCGCCCTTCTACTCTCTGTACTGCCCGTGTACTAATGGACAAAATTCTTCATTCAATAGAATTTGCTGTGCTATCCCCGTGCTCCCACGAACTCATTCTAGGCTGCGATTTTCTTTCCTCTACTTCTGCGACTATTTGTTGTGCACAACGTGTTGTCCACCTTACTGACACGGACCACTTGCTCAACGACGAAACGTATAAGCCACTTCCACTCATCGCTGCTGTAGACATCGAGATAGCACCACGAGAACATCAATTAGTCACAGTTTTGTCCAACGACATCAACTCTGGTGACATTTTGGTCACTCCGTCACCCTGTTGCCTTAATAAAGGCGTAGCTATAGCATCACGTGTGGCTCACTTCTACGATGGATCAACTGTCCTCGCTGCTAGCAACACCACACCAGATAAAATTTTACTGCCACGGGGCACTACTGTCGCCTGCGTTGCCAATCTGGAGCCTGCGCACGTTGTGTCTCTTACCCCTGTCTCCTCTAAAGGCCATCATGCAGATCATAATATGCTGCTTATTCGGCCTATACAGCAGCCATTGACACAGACTTGACAGACTCACAGAAGCAGAAGCTGCTTGATTTATTAGAAAAGCATGCAAACTTCTTTGACGTTGATTCATCTACCCTGGGCCAGACAACCGCTACAGCACATCGTATTCAGACCGATGGAACATCCATTGTGCACCGCCGTCCGTACCGCGTCTCTCTAGCTGAACGAAACATCATTGAAGAAAACGTAAACGATATGCTGCAATAAAAGATAATCCAACCCTAAACCAATTCTTGGTCGTCTCCCATTGTTCGTGTGCATAAAAAAGACGGTTCCGTACGATTTTGCGTCGATTCCAGAGCACTCGATAAGATCACTAGGAAGGACGCCCCATGCCACGCATAGACGACGCCCTCGATTCCTTACAGGATGCTGAATACTTTTCGAGCCTCGACTTGCGTTCCGCTATTGGTGAATCCCTATGCACAAAGATGATAAAGAAAAAAATTGCCCGCAGCTTCCCTCGGGGGAACACTGAGGAGGATGCGGACCATATAATTGGTTAACGGGGTGTTAAAGTGCGACTTACTTGGGTTGATGGCTAAATTGGTTAACGTGGTTGTAGGAGGGGGTGTTAAATGAGTGAACACGTACACACGTATGCGAAAGGGCGGCGCTGGTCGAAGGGACGTCGATCATTGTGTTTGTGGATTCGTTGGAATTCATTTCACCGCGACCTTGGACGTCGACGCGCCGTACAAACCAACCGACGAGCGGCAACTCAGCGAGCGAGCGCCGGCGCATGCACGACGGCGCATGCACTGTCAGCTGTTGAATGTTC